TGGGGGGGATGGGGGTGGGTGTAGAATAACTCAGTTACAACACCTGTATAAAATCCAAGTGCTTGTTTGCTGTACAATAGCATTTTATATTTTGAATCAGATCCTGATTCTTGCTCTATCCTTTTATGACTACTGGAAAATTATTATGCCAGGAGTGTGATTTAGAAAACTTTCCTCTCTTGTTTCATCCTATCAAATATAGGAACATTTTAATGGCTTCCATTAAGATGGGCTGATGCTGAAGGACACTGGGCATTGGGACCAAAGTCAGGCAGGCTGGTTCTTTTCGTGCAATAATTTCTGATAAGGCTAGTTAAAAATTGACCACAAATAATACAAAATATTAGAAAGTAGAAGGGTGGTCTATATTTAATTGTCCATCTAGGTTTCTAAGCTTGGTTCATCACAGCTAGGTTGTATTTCTCTCTTAAAGATACTGAAATACCCTATTTCTGATCATGAAAATAAAACATGAAAGAAAAACAACCGCAAATCTGAACATCACTATGAAGTGGCACCAGCCTTTCCCTTCTCTATATAGATGACCATGTATTTAACTTTTTTTTCAGGAAATCATCATTATTTACAGAATTTACCTGTTTAGTCTTGCTTGATTACAACACACAATCTTGTCTTACAGATTATGTTTTATTATTATTTATTGGTTTTATGTAGTGCGAGAGACTGACATAGTACTTTACAACTGGTAGTATATATAATCAGAGGATGAACCACAATCCCTGCCCCGAAGAGCTTACAGTCTAAAGGCACAAATAAGTACAGAACTGTTAAAAGGTGTTGAGTGGCATGTGCATGATGTAGCTCCTAACCATGCAGACTTGGGAAGAGATGGTGCCTGCAGGAGATTGAAGGTAATGCCATTCTAAGTATAAGACTATCATGAAAAAAGATGTCATGAGTGAGTACATGAAGTGAATAGGCTTGAGAAATCTGCAATGGGTATGTGGAGAATGAGATATCAATGAAAGAAATCAGAGACGTGGATAGGTCAAAACTGTGGAGTACTGTGTCCAGGAAACCCTGAAGCATAGCAAAAGAAGTAGATGTGTCTTAAAAAGGAAAATAAGTCATAATTGTAGGAAATGATAGTTATTTTGGCAGCAGCAACTTAGGGAGACTTTGTGGAGCATGGGAAGAGGAAAAGAAGTCATCAGTTACTGCTGGGAATCATCACCAGTGCATGGAGTACAGCTGATGACATTAGTAAAAATTTAATCTTGGAAATATTGCAGAGGAAAAGAATGACTGTGAAAAGGAAAAAAAGAGAAAGTAATTTAAGATGACACTGACTTGAATCATCTTTATGTTAGTTAAGGAGACTAAGCGATCTTATGTGAAGGGGGAAAGGTGATAGTTAGACAAAGGTCTGGTGTAGTTTTAGATACGTTGACCTTAAATATAACTTGACCTTTCAGAGTGTAACAGCATACTGAACAGGTTTGTTTTAATCTGTATTTGAACTTAATAATGTAAAGTGGTAGTCTAACACTCACACAATATCTTCTATTACAAAAGAAAAACATGAAGTACAGCAAGAATGATCAAGAACACATCAAGGTTCCATCAGATGTGATTTCTAACCCAAAAAGCAAGGAAAAATTTAATAATAGGAATGGTTGGATGCTTACTCTCTTCTTCCTCGTCCATTCACTAACCAAGCAATGAACTCTTTGGCAGCTTGACCTTCCAAATAAGAGGTGATATCACTGGTATAGGTGCCTTCAGCATGTCTCTCAAATTCAGCATGACGCTTGGAGATTGCATTGCTGAAAGAAGAGCAATACCGTAGGAGCAGACTGCATGAGGACTTAATTTTGGTTTTTTACCTTTATTGATATATATTTCCCACCCACCAGACTAGCATTTCTTATTAGGGAGAGTTGTTTGTTTTTTGTTTTTTTTTTTCTTCTCAAATTACTCTAGATATTTTTTTTTCTGGATATCTTTTGGTTCTGAAGGTATTGTCTGTGCTATGCAATAGTTTTGTGCAGAGATGCCCGAACTAGTTCTGAAGAGATCAAATCAGGTGCTGAAAGCAATTATAGCTGCATTGGAGTAGTCTTATTCTAGATTAATTAGCTCAACAATTAGCTCAACAAACTGTATTGTATTATACAGACATAGTTTTTGTTACCTCTTGTGTTAACGTAAAAATTTCCATTAAGCCACTCCTCCTACCTTCATCTTCATTATTTCTTAGCCAAACTGTTCAGACTTAATTCCTCTCAAATTTATATTTTGAATTGCTTTGTGAACACCCTTTTAATTGTCATTCTGACCAAGTGGTAATCTTGGAACAATTTCAAGCCTGATCACCCCCAGTTTAATAGAGAAAGACAATCAACTTTTCCCTCCTTGCACCTCATTGTGTTTCTTTCATTGAAACAGCATAAAATTATGTCACACTAGCCCTTAGGAAGGCAAACTGCTCTGAGAAGTAGACATTTTATGGAATATTTTCCATGAATAAGTTCCCTAGCATTTCTATTTCAGAATTTGATAGTTTCCACCCAATTTTCAGGGCCTGTAGCTCTTTATATTATTTTTTATCTTCTTGGGATTTCACCATTCCTCCTGATTTAGTACCATCTGCACTTTTCATCAGCATGCTAACTAGAGTTGTTTGGAACATTTTTAATGAAATATTAATTTTGTTGAGATATGCTGTTTCACTGAAACTGAGACGTTATTACAGATTTGTTACTGATATTGACTGTTTTGAATAGAAGGATCTTTGTGATCCAGCCTATCCTCTGGAGTTTCTAACAAAGGGAAGAATTAATATAGGTATTTCAATCTGTTTTGCAAAAACATTTACTGTGTTTTTGTTTTATTTGTTTGAAATTTCCAATCCCCTCAACACTCCAAAAAATACTGTCAAGAAATGAAATTCTGGCCTCCAGCAGGACTTGTGTTTGCTGTAATGAGCAGTTTATGTAACATGGGACTGAGTGCTTAAGGGCTGAGCATTGCATCGTGTTTTATCAGCTCTCTGCAAATTGGTGTCTGGCCATTTTCCTTTCATTAGTCTTCTCACTGGTTTTCTTTTTCTCATCATAATGCTTTTCTTGCTTCACCCTTTTTCTATACCAAGTTTTTCTTTTTGTCTTATTCTCTTCTTTATTACTTGAAATCCTGAAATCTATTCTTATCCTGTTGCATTCCTTGAAGCCACTGGACATAGCTATAGAACACAGGCACAAGAATAAATAACAGATACATTTCCTCTTTCCTTGTAAAAAGCAGGTGAAAGATAGTTTCTTATGATAGGTATTTCTTGGATTATGTAGCATTGTAAGGAATACTAGTTGTTTACCTTCTTGTTTAACAGAAAATAAGCTTAAACTGGTTTTGAGTAACAAGTTGTGGCAACTAGAATACCTTGAGAGCTGGTCCGGGAATTTGTCATTTTCTTTGTCCTCCTGTCCTTGTTGGCTGTAGTGGAATTCCACAGTCATTAGATCATTACTACCAATACATTGCAGAACATGCATAAACTGATAAGATTTTATTGGTTATTATTTAATGATTATGATAAACAACCATGACTGATATATGAATGTTATAAATAATTTCAGGTGTATGAATTTAAATTAATGCAATATCTAGAAATTGTTACTTTAAAGACTTCCATGGGGATTTAAAAGCATTGATGGCATAGAGTTTTGGAATGTGTGGACAGGTCTTCTCTAGAATACATGGCATAGACTTATGTGTTTTTACATTATTGTTGCTCTCAAAGTATATTTTCAGTAAATCAAAGTATATTTTCAAAAAACATGCCCACTCATGCCTTAACAGTATACTCGTGATACTGGTAAAGTATCCAGTGGTCAACAAAAAATAAACCTTAGCTCCCTTTTAACAAATGGAACTTCAAGATTAGAGTATTTATAGATAGGAAAGTTTTATTAAGTGCTAATGGCCCAGATCTTTACATTATATGTACAGATTCCTCTTGAACTTAATTCATTCATTGAAACAATCTGTCTCAAAGAGACTGAGATAGTCTTTTTATATGGCATATCAGGTAATGTGGTGATACTACACTTGATTTATCCAATCCTTTTGACTGATTTTCAACATATTACCCATTTCTAATATAATATATTAACATTATGTATAAATTTTCCTTATGTACTTTACTTATTTGAGGATTATATATGGTTTGTGATAGAAAGCTGAAATCAAGAAACTGAATTCAGCTAGATTTTTCTCTGTTTCTTTATTTGGAGATCTATTGCAATGTGACCAAAATGCTTACCCATTTCTTTTAGTGCTCATTAACCATTGCACAAAGTCCTGAGCTCGTCTACTGTCCAAGTACTTGCTGTAATCACTGGTGAATGTGCCTTGTGAGTGACGTTTCACTTCATTCAGCTGTCTAGATTCATCTAATGGTTCAGACTGGGAAGATTTGAATGGCCTGTAAAAAATATTAGAACTCATTAATTGGCAATGGTTATAGTACATTCTACATGTGCATTGACTTTTTTTAAAAAAATACTATTTTATACTCACAAAGTGAAAGCAAATGGCATATTGATCACTAGCTGGCTAGTAAAACAAATCAACATAGCAGATTGGATACTGTGCAATTACAAGGTCTTCTTGAATAACTAAGGCAGCTATTGCTTTGTAATACCAAAAACTTCTGTACTATGCTTTGCAATATTAAAAACTTTTTCCAATTCCAATGGTAGATTAAGTACTGTGTAACAGTATATAAAATATTTTTATATCATAGTATGTTTTGCTTCCAACTGTAAGAAAACAAAGTTCAGGCCAAGTATTTCTAGAAGTTTGATCTATTTACCTTGATTTCTCCTCTGTATCCTGAAGAGGATTTTGCCAGCTGCCTTGAACGATCATTAAAAGGAGCCCAGCAACAAAATAAATGCTTTTCATTTTCATTGCCTGTCAAAACAGCAGAAATAAGGCAACAAAGAAAAATGCAATCATTTTTACATACATATGAACCAATTACATTGAAAAGAGACTCCTTAATGCTGATCTAAATTTGGAGATATTGAGACCCTGTGAGGATTTGGTCCTTGTCCAATGGATGGAGACTGTAATGCCTTGAGTAGGCGTTCAAAAGATGTAATCTCTGTTCTAGTCTTTAGGCTCTAGTCTCTATTCTAGAATGCAAGGTGAGCTGTGATTTTTTTCCCCAGCTCATTCACTAGAGAAAAACAAAACAATTTTTTTTCAAGAATACCATCCCATTAACAGCTCCTCTTTCTTTCCTTCTGGCCCTCCACCCTTCTTTTAAAAGTTTGGGTTTTTTTAATAAAAGATATTGCAGCAGTAGGACTCTGGACTTAATAATGACTTATTAATAGGTGTGTGTCCTCAGAAAAACTCCCCACCAAACCACACACTGGCTTGTGTTCGAGTCATGATGTGATATGTCAAGTTTTGTTTGTTGCACTATTGACATAATACTTTATTTCAGTCTAAGGGCTTCCATTATGGGGTTATATGAGATATACGAGATATGGGGTATATACTTATTTATGGTAATAAACCAAAGCAGAAAATATTGTGTCCCAGATGTAGTTCTTACTGCTATAGGTCATTCTGTTGGCTTCAACCGTGTAACAGAAATGGCCACATTATTATCTGTGTCTTCATCATGTGCACTGTAATAACTCAACCAGTCTCACTGACTTTAATGTGAGATTATTCAGTGTAAACTAGAGCCTGCACAAACACTTTGGTGATCCACAGCCAAACTGTGATTCTGTTACTTGCATTGGTGACTGGTTTACTCATGCAAGTAGTACAGTTATAACTTCTAGTGAGTAGTCACCAATGCAAATGAGGTATTCCCTAATCCCCTAATTATGTGCACTACAATTTTAATTATGTGCGCTACGATTTTAATTATTTATTGTAGTATTATTACTACTGTTGACACATGATCCCCTATAGGACAAACTCAATTGAACAAAGAAATGCTATTTGTTTTAGGCTCACAAAATCCTGTGCAAAAGGGACTATGAGCAGCTAAAGGCTAGTAGACTCAAAAGTGCTTTGCATAAACAGGAAATGAGATGAAACCTACCTACAAAATCAACTAGTATATATTGTATCATTTTAATAATTTTGTATCACTTAAATTTATGGAATGAATGTATAGAAAAGGAAATGAATTTAAAATTTGTTTAGGTACTTTTGACCTTGACAAAGAAATTGAATATGCCATTCATTCAATGGCTAAAAGCTTATTCACTGAAGGATGAATAGTAAATGCTCATTCATTCTAACTTTAAAATCAGTATGGATCACAATATTAATCTGCTGTAAAGCAACAGAAGTTGAAATGAATTCACATCAGCAAAATGTCACTGAAAATAATTTCATCATGTACTTGGACTGATACTTGTGTATTTGAAAGAGCCCTTCTGCCATCCATGACACTTTCCTATGGAAGTTTATGTTACAGTCTGAAAAACAGAGAGAGATAGGGAAGATGAGTGCATTGAAGTAGTATGTGGCAAAGTAAGACCCAGCCAAAAACCACCCTCCCCACTAAATGTAATCTGTACTGAACTCCTCCAGATCCACTGGGGAAGTTATTTATTGAAATTCAATGATTTATAAAATAAGGCAGTGTGAGTAAAATCACTCTGTTGTAATGCTTTGTCACAATAAGCGGAATTTAAATACTGTGGCATGGAGGAAGCCATAAGAAAGTTATAAGGAATGATGTGTGGAGAAGGTGCAGGTTACTCTGCCTTGAGATTTAGACTTGGCTCTGCACTGAGCAGTGCAAACAGGGAGGCTATTTGAGCATCTCTGAAAAAGTGAAGTCCTGCATCAAAAACTTCACTGCTGTAGGACTTCTACTCTTCACCAGTAGCTTGTCCATCTTCAGAGCAGACTTTTTATAAAATCTGTTTCTTCAATCTATTCTAAAATAACATAGTTGGAGATGCAAAGCTTGACTGTTGGCAAACATTTTACCTATGTTTAGGAAAAATGTACTGTTTCTGGTACTTTGTGAGGCCTAATATTTAAGAGAATCTTAGTAATATAAATATTTTACTAGAATGCTTCAGTATCATTATCAAATATTTAAAGCAATCAAAATATTAATAAAATCTTAATCATAACTAGGAAATAAATTGAATATAAGATTTTCTGGTGGATTGTACTAATAAGCAATGGAGTTAATTTCCCTCTCTCCATCAGAAGCCACTGCCAGTGTTGCTCATTTTTTCATCAGTGTGCGTGGAAATTATTTTCTGCCTTTTGCAATGTCCTGATATATGAGATTTGATCCCTACATTTGCACATATCCTGCTATAGTACCAACAAATACTGTAGTGGCCATGTAGTCGGTCCTATTATAACTCTAACTATAGTATTGAACTCTCTTTTCACTGTTTCATTTGGAGCTCTAATTTGGTGGTGCAACACTGACATCCAATGTTTATCCCAAAGAATGCATAATTTCACATTTCATAGGCTTCCAACAATGGAACAAAAGCTCTGCCTATTCTTTAGGAGGTGACTCTGCTGTGGTCACAAAAATGCTTTGATTGTAATGCAGTGACCCCCGATGCTAGCTGATACAGCTGTAAATGAGTTAACTTAGACACCAAATAAGGTCTGAGTATTGTACCATATGTAAGTAAATTTGCCCCGCTTAATGGTATGCTAGCAGTTTGGTATACTTTTACTTAACTTGAAAAAACTAAAGAAAAATAGTTTACAGCTGTAGCTTTGTTAAACCATGATACAGATTAGACATAAACCTGAGTCACTGATGTAGAATGAAAGATAGCGATACAGCCTCCTTATAGTAATATCAGACAAAAAAAGCTATTCTTTTATATAAAATTATACAAAACCAAATTCAAAGCCAATTGTAGTCAGTAAAGAAATTTTCAGTTATTTCAGTATATCTTAGATCTAACTCTTATGCCTCAGTTCTATAGAGCTTTCAGATGTGAACAGTCACACTCTATGCCTTAAGAATGTGTTCAAAGTTAAATGCATGTTTGGCTGCTTTCTACATTTTCAGAATCAAAACCTGGGGAGATTACTAAAAAGAAAGATGTATAAATACAGGTTTTTAAAATGAATACAATTTTCATGTAAGAGAATCCCTATTAATAAAATCAGCATTTTCAAAAGCTATTAATAGTCTGTCAAATATGTTATTTTAAAAATTTAAAATCAGTTTTGGTTTTTTGACATTTAGTACTTGCTATTGGTAACTCAAACCAGCAACAGCAGTTTTTGACAAGTTAAAGAAGCTACAGTTTTTAAAGAAGGAATTGTTATTTTATTCTTGGGAACACAAACATGTTTTGTAGAGAAAGAGATGATCAGCAAATTAATATTTGTTTAGTTTATTCCATCAATTAATTTCCTGATCAGAAGAAAGGTTGTATTTATTCTGAGTTATTTAGGTCACCAGTAGATTCTGCTAAAACCCATGCAATCTTATTGTCAAAGTGCAGAAAAACTAAGGCTAATCTTAGACAGAAAATGTTTGTTCCTATGCATATTAGACTAATGAAAATGTTTTAATTTCTTTCTGATTGGAGATGAAAAACTTAACACATCTCAGATGGAACCACCAGAAAGTATGTAACTGAAATCTTGATCAGACACTTATTTGAGTATTATTTACTTGTTCAAATAGATTTTACTATGTTTTCCAATATATTTTTCTTCAGATGTCTTTTGTACCCATGTGCAATTTTAACTATCTTAATTTCATTGAGTTTTCAAAAAAGAATAATTTAAAAGTCAAATTAAAACCACAAATGATGGTGTTACAGTAGTAAAGAAGGAATATTTTCATATGAAAATGTATGAATGGATGAAATAGATTTCTATTGACATGAAACTGTTTGCAAATAGCAATTATTTCTTAGATATCAATTATAAGCATTATAGAGCAATTATAAATCACTTTTCCAGAAAGATGTAGTAATTTACCTTCCATGCTATAATGCCTTCTGGAAAGTTCTGTAAAAATATAATGGTTCTAGTCTAAGAAAATCCATAGTAGGATGGAAGACTAAAATAAATTTTATGCAATAATCACAATAACTCAATAGTTATTGAGTTATTAAGGCTTTATTTTTTACTTTTGTGCTATAATGTTTTCTTTTCAGATCTTACAGTGATATGAAAATAATAGTTGCTTGAGACAAACTAATCTAAATGTAGGGCAGTGGAGTGGCAATCTATAGGGCGACGGAGTGACAATCTGCCTTGGACAGTCTTAAATCAGTGTCTATATAAACCCACCTAATCTGTTTGCGTTCTGCTAAATTAATCCCTGTTGATTCATGTTTAGGAGTGAATATTTTTAAGCCCATGTTCAATAAATATCTCTAGAGAAGATACTAAAGGAGATAAAAATCTGAAAATCAATAATTTGTATCACATTTTTTATCACATTTTAATTCTTACTACAAGGCATGTCTTTCACGTTTTTATGCTAATCTTCCTTCTTTCAATTCTTCTGTAACCCAAACAGTCAATTTCCCTTTTTTGGATCATTCTCTGTTGAACTAATTCAATACATTAGAATATTTAAATGATGATGTAATTAACTCTAAACATCAATGAGTATAACCACAGAAGAAAACACCATTTTGCTGAAGGATCCTGCACCTCTATTGCAAACTTTGGGCAACACAATTCAGATAATGCACTCAGCTTTCTCAAACAAATGTATTGTAGCTCAATATAAATCTTACCTTTTTGTACTTTGAAGTGATATGTAGCAGTTGCAGAAAGAGCTGCTACTCTCTCTTCTGAGACTATGGCAAGCCTTGAGGATCCTGAGATCTGCCTAGCTGCCTCTTTTGCACAGACTTATATATATACTGTTCAGCTCTAGTAAGCATTACGAGAGTGCATCATTGCTGACAGTTTCCTTATTCAACTTTAAAAAAAAAAAAGTCATCATATTTGCTATTCATTTCATTTGATAATTTTACAAGCAATTTCACACATTCATTCTGCTTACTTTATGACATCAATGCTAACATGGATTTTCAAAAGAAGTGAGGTAGCAATGTCCAAAGAAGTAAATATCAAACAGAAGGGCATTAGGATGACAAACAGTGGGCTAAAGGTGCCTGGGTTTAAGGCAGCAATTTCTCCAAATTCTGATTAGCCACATTTAACATTCAGAATCCTGGTCCTGTTGACATCAATAGCATCAACTACACCTATCAATTTTAAATCAAGGTTTATAAATTTAATATACTGTTAACAATAACCAACACAACTCCCCCAAATCCCTTGAAGGATTCTTCAAGTAATCTTATGCCAATATAACAAATGTGAAGAGATATGAAGTACTGCAGTGATGGCTACCCACTATGCAAATCTGGCACAGGTCAAGTTTAACAAAAAGATTTGATTACCCTTAGATGTAAAATGCCAACTTTGAAAATTCTACTGTATGAAAATTTATATTCACTTGAGAACTGTATGCCAAACAATCATTATAAATTGAGTTTCACACTGTGGCCTACAGATTTATGCAAGATAAGCCTTTAGTTTATGGCTCCGTTCCCTACAAGAAAATAAAAATCAAAAAAACCTCATCAGATTTGATCTTTGTAGCTATGTATGTTCTATGCAACTATTGTCAAAGTCATAAGCCATTCAGTAACAGGGGCAATTTCATAGCTCTTGTGGGGCAGCATTGCCAGAGAAGAATATATTCAGCCATCTGGTGACCACAGGTAAAACAGATAGACACAAAGCTTGTCAATGACCCTGGAAGCTAAAAAAACCTGCCAGTCAGGAATATGGATCTTGTATTATTTCTATTTTTTGCAAACAGTTTGTGACAGCCTGTGAAGCAACAAGTGTGATAGAAATTCCTGGAAAAGTTTTCCTTTACAGACTTTTTCATACATCATGATAATCCTTTGTAAAATGCAAAAGGACACAAAAAATGAAATATGATTATTACATATGTAAGGTGCCAAGCAGTCCAGGAGACATGTTAAATATGAAGGACTCCACCTGGAGTTTCAGTTCTGCTCAGAAAAAGAAAGGGTCTGGAATCACAGTGAACATCTCACTGAACATTAATGACAGCCTGTGCTCTAGTCTGGAATAGCTGATGGTCTAATTTGTGGCACAAAGCATACACATTGCAGCAAACCCTCTTATTTCCTCTAACACTGCCTCATGAAGTCAGCAAAGAATCTTTTTCAGTGAGGTAATTTTCTGCTGGTTAACCACAACCAGATTAGCATAGCCCATATGATACGATTGAGGCAGTGTATAAATGTAATAACCCTAGTGTTAGAGTGGCAAACAAAATTTAATGGATTTTAGAGAATTTTTTTTTTTTTTTTCCCCCTCTAGTTTTCTAGAGCTGTATCCTAAATACCATACTGTGGTACCACAGTATGGGTTTAGGGAAACATGCTCACTATACAGGCCACATGATTTTTTGTGTGTGTGCATTAGTATAACTTTTCTCTGCTCTTGGATACATCTACTGAGGTTCATGGTCCATTTTTGTCATTTCTAGGTATAATGTAAGTTGCCTACTAATGCTGCTGCTGAAAACTTAAGGGCACAGCTTCTGTTCTTCTCATCATTGCCTTCTATTTGTACCTTCAGTCATTTCTGAGATCCTTATTTTGCCCTTCTGTTGCTCTCCTTTTTAATGACTACTTTTCCCATCTTTTTCACATGTTCTCTTTTCCATGTCCTCTTTCTTCTGGCTCCTAATTGCATTTTTCGCATCTGTTCATTCAAGAATTCCCAGTCGTTGACTGGCATAGGAGATACAAACTTGCATACATATTTATCAAACGTGGCTTTTCAGATGTTTTGTTTGAAACAACCAGAATGTTCGCCACCTTCCCTAGGCAAAAAACTGTGTAACCTCTAAGACATGGTGCCAAAGGAGCCAAAATAAACCTGGGAACAACCTTATACCTAAAATCTTATTTTCACGAGATGCCAATTTCACTGAGATACTTTGTCGTCTAATCTCAGAATTATTTTAAAATCTAATTTCTATTTAAACTTTATGAGCATTATATAGGGGATGCAAAATCACAGTTTAAATATAAGTCCAGCGCTAAGTATTAGAAGGTTCTGTGTCGCCATGAAGTTGGTCAGCTTCGCGGCTCCTGCGGGAGGCAGGCTCCCAGCCCTGCAGTACTCCGACAGGACAGCAGATGGTGATCAAAAGGCCGTTTGGACTTTTTATTTTTTACACCAGGACGACACGTAACACACTTGTTGAAATGGATTGGTACGGACAATTATCTCACTGCATGTGCACCGTTAAAGATACATAGCTTGCTAAACAGGCAATACAGAATGTAAGACAATATCATCTCCCCCAGGAAACTGGCAGTTCTTTTCTTTTTGTTTAGCTCTGTTTATTTTCTTGTGTCAGATAAAGTTCCTTGTTTACAGTAGGATGATTTCAGAAAAAAGTGTATGAGACAGAGCAGCTCAGTGCACCTGGTTAGGCAGGTTGTTACACAGGCTGTATCATCTAGCAGGTCATCTAGCATCTAGAAGGTGACTGATTATTTGTTTTTCAAGTGATACACAGACAATAAAAAGTACAGGAAAGAAGTAAATTGCCATCAAGAACCATGGTTGCCATAACTGAATCTATAGTAATACATATTTCAAGAGCACGCAAACAAAACTTACCAAACAGAAGTAGAAAATTGTAATGAGTGTGTGAAACATGCATATGTAGTCATTTTTTTTCCTCTCACATTGTAAAATATAATAGTAGATGGCAGCTTTTGACAGAAGTCAACGGTAACCTCACTCTCCTCTATATTATAGTTCACATATGAGACAGTACTTCAGCTGAGTCAGATGAGGAGATGGAACCTGAAAGTGACCTGCCTTCAGGAAAGTTTCATCTTAATGTTTTTCATGATTCACTTGGAGTCATTAAAAAATCTGTGTCTTGGTTTCACTGTATTTGGAGTTGATCAAAGTTTCCTGCACCATCATCTCAGCACCAGGTAATGACTGCTATTAAGGACAGTGTATTGCACTCACTGGACAAAAAAAAATCTGGGGGGAAAGTTACAGAAGAGGTAAAATGACAAGCAGAATTCTTACCAGTTCACACTGAACCTGATGCTGTGGCAATGACAATTCCAGCTGGCATGGCTTTTCAGAAAAATAGGACCAATATACTTGTTATAACTGGCTAGCATACGCTGAATATCATAACTTTCTAGGATGTTTCTCTCAACTCTTTAACTGTTGGTACAAGAAAAAAAATTGTCAATATTTGAACATCGTAATGAATTTGGAAGTTGCTGATTTTCAAAAGTAAAAAAGTAAAAAAGTCCTCAACAAATGTTTTCAAAAAAGTGAAACTCCCTATTACTACCCATTACATATCTAAAGAATATGGGAGGGAGGAGGATGTATCTTGGGTATGACTACAGGCCCACACCCTTTTCTTTCTTACATCACACAGAAAGTATTCTCTCACTAACCTTGTCAACCATGAGTTCAGAGGCTGGGCTGTGCAGTCCCTATTTTCCTATCATTGCCATGTGGTAATCAGCCAAAAGAGCCCTGCATTCCCCTTCTGAGCATTAGAGCAACATATTTAGGAAGAACATACATGTAAACACATACATACATAAAATATTTGCATCATGTTACATACATACATGTATACATATACATAACACACAAATGTGTGCATATGTATATATGCAATTCCATGGCTACACTTTGGAGAATAAGGATGGCTTTCTGAAACAGAGGATTAGTTTAGGGTCTGTAAGCCTTTCCACAGCATGCAACTCCATGCTCACTGCCACGGATGCCGATGGGTTTGTACCTCAGGAAAGAGAGCTATTGTAACTATGCTGTAGCCCACACTGTCTACTCACATAAATTGGAATTGCTCCATTTGAAGTCAATGGAGCTGCATCAATTTGCGCAAGCAGAAGATCTGGCCAAGTATGTACTAGTTACTTTACATTCTGAGAAGACAATGTTCATAATTGAAAGTAATACCAAATGCTCTTAGCAAATACTATGAATTATTCAGATTAAATATATAGCCTTCAAATGACTCTGTAAAATGTTCTAAACAGCTGTGCCTTGTAATTGGAACTGACTGTCAAACTGGAAAGTATTGCATGTAGTCTGAGTTTGACTTGATATCTGAGTACAATAACACTAACTATATTCTGGAGCCTGGCTGGGATTACACTTGGTTTTCTACTAATGCTGTTTTCTCTTCAGACCTTTTCTTCTTTATAGCTGCAGTAATACTAAATGAAGCAAAGCATGTAGCTTCATGTTTGAGGTATGGGGATTGAATGTTCATTGATAGGTACAACTCAAACAGCGTGAATGAGGTAGATGATGAAAATAGGTATTGGGGAATGAACAGTGGTTTTCTGCTATTTATGTATACTTCAGTTTCTAGACTAAAGCAATCTTTGCTTTGCAGCTCTAGCTTTAATCTGTAAAAGCTAAACAGGATTCATTATGGAGGCTGACTTGTAAACAACTAGCTGTGGCTCTTTATCAGGGACCTGTCTACTTAATTCAGAACAACAGTGTCCCATCTTCAGAGGCTTGTATACCTTGTTTATATGACAGATATCTGAAGACTAAGTTTCATTGTCTGAAGTGGTATTTTTTTTGTGATATCTCACACAATCTGAAGTGTGAGATTCTTATCGTAAAGAGAAAAGAAGAGGAGAAAGTGCTCAGCATTTTCTGAAAACCAGATCCTCTAAAACATTTGGAAGTGGGAGCAAAACTTTGAGGATATTCATTCATCAGCTTAGAAAATCTTGCCATAAA